TTTTTTAAGTTATCGTCGATCTCCAACGGCGCGACAAAAAGGCCCTTAACTGCTGCCAGTGATTCCGGCTTCTACGTGGATGAAATAAAAAAAAAAAAATCTCGTTAAACTAGATAATATTGTCTGTAAAGTGAACTACGATAAAAAACATAAATAAAAAATTGACAAAATGGCGGCGTTTTAAAAAAAAAATTCCAATTTACCCAAAATTTTGGTCGTTTTTCGACTGCCAAATTCCGATTTTTGATCCGATAAAAAATTGATAGTTCACATTACGGAGAACTATATACAGAACATGTAAACAAATTTTGATAGTGATCGGATCATTCGTTTTTGAGTAATCACTGCAGCAAATTTGGAAAATGCTGTTTCGAGAAAACGCGTTTAAAGATAAAATGATCGTTGTACTATATACTGTATGTATACTTTTTAAATGGCTGTAACTCAAAACTATTGAGATATCGATTTGAAATTTTAATACGTTATTTTTAAAAGTGTAGTCTATCGAAATATGAAAAAAAAACAAAAATCGATTTTTCAAAATTTCACACTTGTGCCCCTTAAAGAGAATATTTCTTGTCCAGAGGCATAAATTTCATGCAATTTTGTAAACTCATAAAAAAGGCTAACAATATTTTCACTACACTTTTCACCAATTAATAATGTTCTAAAAATTAAAAAAAAACTAGTCGATATTGGTATTTGCCTTGAGGCAAGTTACATGAACTTCCCGATTTATGTAAATAATCGACTTAATTCATGATAGATAAATTATTTATGAGTAGTTAAAAGTATTCGAAGTGGATTTATTACACATTATTGAAAATCGAACACGTCAACCCGGTCGGAGTATTTTTAAAAGCAAATTTTCAAAAATCAATAATTTTAATAATTGAGCCAGTTTTTTGTAGGACTTTAATTGTTTAGTATGTTCATTAAGACCAAGCATTTATCGTTATACCAGGTAAATCATCTAATTTTAATTTTAACAATGTTAAAAGAACTACCCATTTTCTCAAACTTTGATGAATTTTTAAAATTGAACTACTTATTGTCGTGAGGCCGTAATATTACAGTAAGTTCTATGAGACCATGATATATATCGCCCAAAAAAGTTCCATGAAAATTGGCTTAAATTTTATTCAACAGTTAATTACAAAAGAACGTCTTGGTAGATTTTCACCTAAAACTAATCAGTACCATTCCCAACTAATATCTTTCGAACAGTTTTTGATTTTTTAAAATCGGTTTGGTAGTATGAGCTTAAATGTGGACGAAAGGTTTAACACTTTATTCCAAATTACAAAGAAACGGCTTGGCTGATCGTCGCACAAAACTGAGAAACGATAATCCTCATCGAGATACATCAAATGGTTATTAAATTTCTGAAATCGGTTCAGGCGTTTTTGAGCAAACGTCGATGAAAGTTCTAATTTTAACAAATGCAAAAAAATCATACTAATATTTAAAACTTTGACAACTTTTTAAAGCTAAACGAGTTGTCGTAGGGCCGTTATATTTCAGTATGATCTGGAAGACTATGGTATTTACCGTCAAAAAAATAATATTAAAAATCGACGAAAAAAATTTTTTTAACACTTTATTACAAGAAAACGGCCCGGTCGATCTCTACCAAGACTAATCAGGCCGATTCCCAACCAATATCATTCGAACGTTTTTTGAATTTTCAAATTCGATTCAGAATTGCTGGCTAAAACGTGGATGAAAAACTTTGCACTTTTCTGATATTTGCGAAAAAACGGCTTGGCCGTTTGTGACAAACAATAGTCCTCATCGAGATACATCGAATGACTTCTAAAATTTTGAAAGCGGTCCAGCCGTTTTTGAGAAAACGTTGATTTACAGCAAAAAATCTATTCACATGCACATACCCACATACACATACATGGTTTTTCCAAATTGGTCTTATTCGATTCAGAATGGCTTGAAACGTCGAGAAAACCTAAAATAAGCGAATCAGATTTTTTTATGAAAACAAACTTCTTCGGGAAGTTAATAATAAAGTCAAATTGAAACATATAAGATTGTTATAATGTACCAGGTTCAAATATCAAGTTCTCTTTCAGTCAACTTGGTATCAAGCAGAAGTGATACTTGCTCAAATAATACATCAAAATAAGTAAAAAGAAAATATAATAATTGAAAAGGTTTAGAAAAATAACCAAGTGTACAAAGAATAATATAGGTTGGGTCACCCAAGTTGGGTGTAAGAAAAATAAGTACTCTTTAGAATCATTTTTCGTAGATATAAATTAATACATAAAATTTATTGTTCTTACAGAAGATATGTTTCGATTTCGATACTTTAAATTATACATAAAAAAAATCATTTTCACTAGTATAGTGTATTTTTTAATGAAATAAAGTTTAATATTGAATATATTATAGCACAAAATTCAAATATAAGTAAAATTTATAATAAGACAAATTAAATTGTTTTTATACAATTCTCAATAAATTTGTATGTACTTATTAATATTTATAAATAATCTTGACAATATAAATTTTGTTATTATTGCTATCATAACAGTAAAATATACGTAACACTGATATTTGCATGAAAAATACTTGATTGACGTTGAAAAAAATCTATTTCAAAAACTGCTATTTTGATTATTTATGAAAAATATGTATATTTTGGGTGAGAATAGTATAGAAATGTTATAGAAATGCTAACAAACTGTCAAAAAAAGTTTTAGGCGTTTTACACATAAAACCCAACCTACAAAACTCACAAATGATAATAACAATCTTTTCATAAGTGCAACTCTCTGATCTATAAAAACATAAGTAAAATGTGTAAAACGCCTAATGGTACAGCAATTACAAAGCTTTCGAACAGTTTGTTACTAACAACTCATACGAAGTTAGACCCGTAAAATAACAATACGATAACATTTCTATTTTATTCGAAAATTGGCTTTTTGTATTATCAAAATAAACAGTCAAAAATTGTATCGAAGAGACGTATGCATATTGAGAAGTTGATGAAAATTGTTTTAGGGCAAATGTAATTTCACATTTCACACCCAATTTTAAAAATAATTTAGATTCAAATTAGTTCATCATAATAAAATACTTCAAAACAAGACTGTTTTCTATTATCATTTAATTCAATTTTCATTCAATTTTCTGTTATCTAATCAAGTTGATCTTCGAAGCTTTCTCGCACAATTTCTATTACCAATTCACCTGAATTATTTCAAGTACGGAATTTTCCTTCATTAACAAACCGAATCTTATATATGGATATAATAAAAAAAAGTCCATATCACTTTAGTCAGTTTCAAGCACTGATTACAATCCGCGGTTTTTGTGACAATTATCAGTGCAAATTCTGACATATGTAAATTGTAATTTGCCATTATCACGAAAGCCTTCGGTCGGGGTAGACGTAATAATAACGTAATATTTGTTGCCATATTTTTTAAAATATTGCTAATAGTTGTATCTGTGATAAAAAATTAATAAAAATATAAAAAAAATTAGAAGTTATTTAAAAATAGTTTAAAATGGGTGTAGTTAGTACTCAAAATAAAAGTAAACCCAAAAGTGTGGCTATTGTTGGAGGAGGTTTGGTTAGTAGATCCAATATCAAATTTTTATGTTATGTTATTGAATCTAATGGAATAATTATTATGGTAATCTATGGTAAAAAGTGGAGTTTCTTAACAAAAAATGTCATATTTTTCAAGAGCAATCAGATCTGCAAGTTCAATAAGATTGACCTACTATATCTATGAAAGGCAACCCAGTGGTTTACCATTAAATTTTAATTGGACTTTGAATTTGGAAAATCTAAAACAATAAATATTTGTAATAAAGTCAAATGAAAACAAATAATATTGACTATAACAAAAGTTCTTGTCTTGCAACCACAAGGTTCAAGTTTCAATTTATGTCAACTTGATATCAAGCAGTTGTTATATTTGTTTTTACTTGAAAATTAACGTTAATTTTCTCTTTTTTAAGTAATAGATGGAATGAATAAAAAATATAATGATTTGAATGTTGAAAAAAATAATCAAATGCACTGAATAAATAATATATTGATCTAACAGTGCTGAGAATGTTTATAACTTTTAAAAATTAATCAAAAACTCAAATTTTACAAATATTTAAACAAGGTGCGAGTGACATTTTGCCTTAAAGAAAGTAGCTTTAATTTCTATACTTTTTCCAAAGTTGGTGTCAAACGGTTCAGAATGAATTAAAACGATTAGAAAAGTTGACAAGTAAATTACGATGACGTATTTTAAAGTAATGACATATTTTTTATGCAAATATTAATATTACGTGTGCATTTTATTGTTATGATTATTTTTTTTGATTACATGTGAATACTATGAGTACATCGTTAGTATAAAAGTTAAAAATCATAATAAAAAACTTGCTGAAACCCTAAAAATTCAAAATTATCTACCTTGATAAAATTTAGAAAAAAATAGTTGAAAAATAATAAATTATAAATGATATTATATCCTGTATTAAATTTTTAATGTATTTAAAAATATATGAAAATGGTGTATTAAATTAAAAATGCATATAAAATTAAGATAATATTTGGATCAAAAATAATCAGATATATAAATTATAAAATCAACTAAACATAATTATAAATAATCTTGGAAATAGACTGGATTATAAATGTTTTATATTATGTAAAATTGAACAATTTACAAACCATTTTTCTGCATTTGTATTTTCATTTATTTTTTACCATAGAGTGATAAATTGAATAATTGAAAGGGCAAAAAATCAAGACAAATATTAATGAATTAATAAAACTGCGAATAAAAAAATACGTTTTAAGAGCTTTCAATCTTTTTGGTATACTTCAAAAAAACAGTATTAAATGTAAGTTTGTAGGTTGTATGTAGTACCTTTGAACATTTGGGGATATTCGAAAACCATCTCAAAAATATTTGTAATTCAAAAGCTCAATACTTTTTAGTAAAGTAACTCTAGAGCTCCACTAACATTTAAATATTTTTTAGCAAGTTAATTTAAAATTTTTAAATATATAAACATTCGAAATATTGTTAATTTTGTAAACGTTCAATTTTTTTCCAATTCATGATTTGAAAATATAATCATGTAATATTTACTTCCCATACGAGGAGTTTCAATATATTACTTTAAAACAAACATGAATATTTTCATAAATTGTATTAATATCATATTATTTATTTAAATAAAAACAAGACCCAAGTATTTTTAAATGTGCCAAAATATTTATTCAATAATATTTTTTCTCTTTCTGAACCAACCAAAACTTTACAGTTCTATAAGCTGTTGTCATACAACTTCTCTCCAAAAACGTCGTTTTTGCAAGAAAAAAATCTAAAATTAATGATATTGTAACAGATTGCGATAAATTTTTAACATTTTTTTTTTAACTAAACTTTTTTTAAATTTTTTCTAGGTTGGTTCTCTGGCAGCATGTTTTTTGGGAAGAAGAGGATTTGAAGTGCACTTATTCGAATACAGAGAAGGTACGATCAAAAACATCCGTTTTTGATAATGATAAGTAAATCAATCTACTTATTTTTAGCATAAGTGTTTTATTTTGTACGTTGAGTAATTTCCCTTTTGAAATAAAAACATACTTGAAGATAAATCTTTCAAACACTTGCAAAAAAACATTCTATAAAAATTATTAGAATATGAAATTGCAATATAAATTAAAAAAGTAATTAGTAGAAAAACATTTGGTACAAATAATTAACATATGAATTTCCAATATAAATTAAAAAGTAATTATTTACTATTATACAATAACCTAAAGATAATTCACGATTTGCGTGTTTAGATAATATGAAACATTTAGTTTTGATGGATGAATCATTTGTAAATGTATGTTTCATAGTGCATTCAATCAATCGATGAATCAATGATAAATCAGTATTGATGTCGGTTTTTATTTAAAAAGAAACGATGTAAATATGACTTCAAGTGAAACAAGCCTTTGGGGGCATTGCTGCAACGAATAAATGCATATAGATTATCAAATGGTTGTTGAATTTTCGGTTCAAACATTTTCTTAAAAAAATTTGATGACTAGTAAATTTTAGCACACATATATATGTAATTTCATTTTAAGGTCAATTTTATACACAGATGCTTTTTTAACCTCAACCCCAACCAATTTATAATAAATTTAAATTTCTGGAAAATCATAAAAAAATCAAGATTCAAGCTAATTTCAATAGTATCTTATTTTCAATAGTCAATCGTGATACAAAAATCATTATTCAAAATTATTTGAAATTCTTAAAAACAAAATCTTAAAAAAAAAGTATAACGAGAAGTGATTTGCAAAAATATTAAATTATCTCACAGCACGAAATGTTAAAATCTACAAAATCATAAAACGTGACTACTTGATCATCAGTAGATGTATTAAAGAAATTATTCAACAGCTCTAGATTATGTAACAAAAATACAAAAAAAAACGTCAATGTTGACATTGAAACTAATTAACGATTACAGTACTAATCAAGTAATTTATTTGATTTATATAAAAAATTGATATTTGCAATAATTTGCCCAATGGCTCATATTCCTAGTTTTGTTCTGAAACCAAAAATTCCCAATTTATTGAAAAAATATTAATAGAATACTTAAACAAATATAGCATTTTATCTCTCGTAATAGGAATTGAAAAATACTAAGACAATTTATATAGCTGAAATTTGATTTTTGTACGAGACATGTTTTGTGTATAATAAAGATTTAAGCACAAATCGAAAGCCCAAATAGATTAATTTACATTAAAATATAACTACACAAATCAAAAGCAAATGAATTTATATGTCAATTAACCAATAGAAAAGTTTTGTATAACCTTAACACTTCTTAAGGAATAAGAATTTTCAATTAACAATAGTAAGAAATATAAAAGTCAAAATTTATTATTTGATATTGACGTCAAAATTAAATAAACAAAAAAATCAGAAAAGGTTCAATGTCAAATTTTCATTTTTATTAAAATATAACTAGACTAATCAAAATCAAATGAGTTTATCAAAAATCGGTCAATTTACCAACAAAAAAAGTCTTGTATATCCTTAATACTTCTTTCTTCTATTGTCACTATTTATTACCCCAGGATTAAGAATTTTTAATTAACAATACTAGGAAATACAAGAGTCCAAATTAATTTTTGGATATTGACGTCAAAATTAAATGAACAGAAAAAAAATCAAAAAGGTTCAATGTCAAGATTCGTTGTTGACCTGTAGTATCAACTTATTAACATGTGGTCTAATAATAATTATCTAAACGACGCAATTAAATATAATTATGATAATAAAATCTAAAAAAATAGCAAATATTCACGTGGGTTAAATAATAATAATCGATTGCAGTAAAAAAAAAAGTTTGGAAAAAATTGTGAGTAAACTTGCCAAAATCAAACTAAAGCTAATAAAATATTGGGGGAAGAGAAATTTAATATTTTGTTTTGTATTGAAAATGTCAAAAATGAAGAATAAGAAATTGCTTTTCAACAAATGAATGTTATGGCAAGGCTATGTTACGTTGCGTTTTTCATATAAAATGGTACTAAAAACTGTCAAAATGCTATGTGGTTGCTGTGCAGTCAGGCGTTTTAGATATAAAACTTGACCTAGAAAACTCACTACGAAAACGAAAATAATCTTATTGTAAGTGCATCTTTCTGATGTGTCATAATAACACTTGCAAGAAGTTGCATTTTATGTGTATCACGCCTGATCGATCTGCAACCACATAGCATGTTGACAGCTTTTAGTACCATTTTATATGAAAAAAGCAGCTTAACATAGCCTTGCCATAACATTGGTCACATTTTTGGTAAAAATACTATTACTTCTTTTGCCATATTTATTTATTTTGCAAATGTTATGGAATCTAGAATATACATAAATAAACTAAAATAAACTTTTAGTACCGTTTTATATGAAACACATCGTAACAAACCTTGCCATAATATTGGTCAAATTTCTGGTAAAAATATTATTAATTTTATTACGATATTTATTTATTTTGCAAATGTTAAGGAATATAGAATATTAATAAATAAACGTCTGATCGAACTGCAACCACATGGCGTTTTGACAGTTTTTAGTACCATTTTATATAGAAAACGCAGCGTAACATAGCCTGGCCATAATATTGGTCACATTTTTGATAAAAATATTATTACTTCTTTTGCCATATTTATTTATTTTGCAAATGTTATAGAATCTAGAATATACATAAATAAACGCCTGATCGAACAGCAACCACATAGCGTTTTGACAGTTTTTAGTACCATTTTATATGAAACACATCGTAACATAGCCTTGCCATATATTTGGTAAAAATATTATCAATTTTATTA